ATATTCAAGATTTATCTTTTTTTTGGCTCACTAATAAAAGGAAGAAAGCTTCTGCTGCTCTTTTTACTTCCCGGACTGAAGGGGCGTTATGTTGGCATCCCTTGAGGGGGATTTTAATGGATAGGCAATGCTGAGGTAGCACATGGAAACGAGCCAGGCAAGGGACAATTGGGTTTGCTTCGGGCAGTGATTCATTTTGGGACGAGAAGCCTGCATATTGGGGAACCCGAGCTCTCACACTCGGGTGATTGACTGGTTGGACACTGGTTGGACACAGGATGCCGCAACGACTGGGGGATGGTCAGGATCGGGTTTGCAGCCTGTCGAGGCTACGCAGCATGCAGGGAGAGCTACTTGACGATGGGACCCGCTTCGACATGATCAGAACGGAAGGAAAACGCATTTCCATAAAGCTTGGATGGACTCTGGTACTGGAACAGCTCCTGATGGAGCTTAGCCCATATCGAAAGTGGGTTGAGGAAGATGGTTTGGAGGAGTTAAGTTTGGTATAAGCCCGCAGATGATGCGGCACTGACACTCAGCGAGAAGACTTCCAAGCCTCACTCATGCTCACCCTGCATCAGCAAGACGTTGATACCAGCCCAATCATGACCAGGATTGGTATCTTGGAGGATGCGGCCAACCGTTTCTGAGGTTGATCGATCTCAAGCAGATGTCAGTCTTCTACCTCCAGAATGCGATTAGGTAGCACATACGACCATACCTACTGGAGAATTCGGGATCCCGTCCGCTCTCCCCTAGACAAGCCAGTAAGGGTCGGACTAGTAGTTGGGTGGGTGACCACCAGCGAATCCCTGATGTTGTATGTTTTTTGTTGTTCTGTTAGTATTTTTGGAATCGGTCGCTACAGGGCGCCTCGGTGGGATGCAGCACTGATTCGAGGTTCTAATGGGGTGCGACGAAGCTCGGCGACGGAGTGATGTGGGGGCTGAGGTCATGAATGCGGCCGTAAATCTCTTGAACTTTCACCTGGAGGCGAAAGCCGGGCTGATGCGTGTCTGTCATGGCATCAAAATGTAGTTCCCAAATTATGGGGCACAGGAAACATCGTGTGATCGTCTCAGCCATCTGCCCACGCCCCAATGCGGTTCGCTAGACACTGAATCAGCTGAAAGGCACTCCGAATCATAATATTGCGATGCTCATTATACTTCACCTTCTAGACTTTCTCTTGTAATGCGCGTGCGCCCCCAGGAGAATTGCGCGTAGCGTTGGGAGGGTTGCTGTTGCTATCCGAACACAAGGGTGGCTTGCCAATGCTACCTCACGTTGCTTCTCCTATTGAGAGCCTCTACATTGTGTATGCCGCATGTAAAATGCGCATTTCGATATGGATGACAGCCTACATGACATGGTCTTGATATCGACTTCAGCATGCCTTTGTCACTCATTGGGCTTACGACGACCGATGGATTCTAAGATTTAATCTGTCTCGATGTACTTGAAAACATTTGTGTATTGAAACTTGGTTTGGCCGAGGGAATCCAGGAATAAGAGCTGGTGCATCTGTGTGCTGGTCAGCCGAGTAGGCCAGAATACCAAGTCTCACGTCAAGTTCTCTCCGTAATCCGTACTCTGGTCACTGACGATGAGCACATTTACCACCGGGCTTGTCACAGGAGTAAGGATTAGACATTTTCTCAAACGAAAGCTTCCATCTTACCACAGCTTGATATGGGAATAGCCACCAAGTTTTTATGTCGCGAGCGAGTGGATTGCTTTGGCACCCCTAACACCACGCGTCACAAGCACTGGGGTTCGTTCACTCAAGCTGATTGATTTCGCAGTACGCTGGAGTCCAGATAGTTCTGTGCTTATACCGAAGGTCATTTTGACTACCCAAGAGCCTGCCAGGCTCAAAGGCATATCGAGGCTATATGGATGCCGATGGTACATTGTAAAATCGAAGCAAAGATCTTCGTCTGTTCCTGTCATCGAGAAAGCCACCGAGGCAGTGACATCATCAGTACTGCCTCCGACGAACAAATGTAGGCTATCCCTCATAGACGCAACGTGCTCCTTGTGACTGATGAAGTGGGCAGGGTTTTCCAGCATGGTGTACAGGGAAAGTCAAGACATATTGAGCTTTGACACGCGTGTTAGGCAGTCCCGTGGACAAGAAGTCTTCCGGCAATATCACTTGGCCCCGGACATTGGATGCTTAACACAATTCATTGTCGTGTTGCAGCAGGCGATTAGTTGTGCACCGTACCTGGGTGCAACGGACTGTCATGCAGGCGAGGCAAGACATCTCTATTCGGACAACGACGTGCTGCTACCGCAAGACACCATAACCACCGTCACACATGTCGACTTAGGTCCGAAGGGGGCGTTGTGAATTTCAGAGCATCTTATTAGCTCTATGCAATGGGCGGCAGCTGTCCTGCTACCTAATCCGGGCCAGCGAGACCCGAACAAGTTTTTTATGAGTCCTGACCCTCGAGAATCCGTTGCGCGTTGATGGTTTTATACGAAATCAATTATTTCCTCTGAACCGTGCGATGCATCGAGAAATCGGAGTCCCCCTTGCCAAAAACGTATGCCGATCATTGTCGTCCCCAGCCCTTCGTTACCCAGACACAGGCATCACGCTCAAGCAGACTGGCAGCGGTGTTAGCGGGACGCGGTCTCAACATCGTGCGGGATTGCGGTGGCAGAGGTTCGTTCGAGACGATGTCCCCCCTTCGCCACCCCTGGCGTGGATGATGCTCACCTTGACGGCGTACTTGCGCTGAGGGAAGTGCTGCGTCTTCTTGCGCTGCTTCTCGGTGACCCTCTCCGCGTCGGCCTTGGACAGCCTGCGGCGGATGGCACGGGTCTGCTTCGCGCGGAGGTCGAGGGGCGCGTACTTCTTGTTCTTGTAGAAAAGGCGGAGCTGGTGGCGTTGCTTGGCGTTGATGACGGTCAGGACGCGAGCGATGGACTTGCGGATGTCGCCACTATATTGCGAGCCGTGGTCAGCGATGAGTTCCCTCGTGCGGTATTGCCTGCCTCCGTGGGAGGGATACCGTCCCTGGAGAGAAAGCAAAACTGGAGGAAAAGGGCGGAGCGTACATCTTGTTGAGCTTGGAGCCGGAAGAGGTGATCTTCTGGATGCGAAGCTGGCCGAGCTCAGTCTTGAGCTCGCCGAGCTGCTTCGTCAGGTCCTCCTTGTTCTTTCCCCACAGCTGGGCGGCCTTAACCTTGGATGTCGACTGGTTCATTCTCGTTAGCGAAAAAGGATCCCTCTGAACGCTCGCGAGTTATGTGCAATGTGTATGTGTGTATGTGCGTGGTGGTCTTTGGGTATTTTTTTTTCTCTCGCCCTTCAAGATTTGGGGACAGGCGCGGGGCGGATCGTGAAATCGAGGATTGCGGGTTCGGCAGGAAAGTCGATCGAGAAGAGTTCGCGGGTCGGGTGGAATTGTGGAAATCTGCTTCAACAGCAAGGCAACGGACTTACCATCTTGGCCAGAGACACGGATTGATCACTGAAGGACGGGGGTTAGTGGTGAGTCTCGTGATGTCGGGAACTGGTCGTCGTCAAGGCTGGCAAGGAA